TCAGCAGGATCACCAGGCATTTTTGATGTAGGTGTTTCGTGAACCACACTGCTAGAAACACTGCTCCAAAGGCTGCGCTCTCTCATGACCCTACTCCCACCGGGTCTGTGGGAAAGCAGGTGTACGAGGGCACCTGCAGACAGGCTTTACAAAGAAGCTTTTTGCAAAATACTGGGCAAACACAGTCTGTGTGTGTGTGAGAAACACTGAGCTGCAGTAGATCCCAATCCACATAAATATAATTTACGGACATAAATAACTTGTCTCTTGGGTGACTTCTGAAACTTCCTCTCATCTGCTGTACCTCGTGTCCCTCCCTAGAGATGCTTCCTGTCAAGGCTTTCTCCCAGGCCTCGAGCCACCCTCCCCCATCTCAGCATTATTTACAGGACAATGCCAGGGTCTGGCAGAAACAAAAGAGAGCGAGAGACAGGACAGGAAGGGAAGAGAAACTCATCCTGAGGGGGGTGCCTCCTGAGTCCCACCAAGAGTTTTTTCTAAGAGGCTGCACGTTTTGGAGTGCTTTTAAAAGGCAGTACCACAATGGACAGATTTTACTTGACGAGATTCACATGAATACATGAAAGCAGAAGGGCTACAAAGCACACAACACCCAGAAACAATTCGCTGCGGAGGCACATGGTGCTTCCTAATGAAGAGCAGCCTGTGTTTAAATTACTTCGACAGAGAAAATGTGGTCAAGTTACCCATTAAAAAACAGAAAACAGCATTAAGAGAATTTGAAAGTAGAGAGAAAATCACCAATTCAAATGTATTACCTGAAATGTGCTAAAAGGTGACCCATGTGAAAAATAGTTATTCCCTCTTTTAAGAAGTTAGTTTAGTGAGACGTTCCTAAGAAAAACCTCTAAGATTACCCTAAAATATACTGAAATGTATATTGATTTTTCTACTTTCCTTCTGGAAATGACAATATTAAAAATCCTTGCCTATGCTGTTAAGCCCACTGCTGATTTGTCCTTAAAACAAAATGCTTAACATAACAAAATTCCAATGTTAGAGGTTCAAGAATTAACTCACTTGCATTTTAAAATAAAACTTAGCTAAATTATAATTACCTTCTACAAACAAAATACCTACGAATATAGTAACTCCCTTAAAAGTTCTGAATGAGAATTAGTCTAAATTCAGCCATTAAAAAAACATATTTTCGGCGGCGGGGTGGGGGGGCCGGGAAGCCAGCCCCCGTTTAACGAGAATCAGAAAAGCCACTGGCTGGGCAGATAGCAAGTATCGAAGACACTGCACAGGCTTGGTTTCACTGCCTAATGCTTCTCCTCTCCCTTGCTTTCTATCCTTTTTTACTGTGACTGTTTTTTGTAAAAGATTTAAATGTATTTTTAGTAGGCATTTACACGCGATCCTAATGGTAGGAAATTCTAATAAAGAAAAGGTAAAAAAAATGACCTGAAGATGAAGAGATGAACAAAATGGAGAATGATGACAGAGCTTGAGGATCGAAACTTAATATGTTCAAACACAAACGCCTGCTAATGATGACCTTTCTGAGGGCTGCACCCAAGGCCTGCTGGGTGGAGGAGTCTAGCATAAGGTAGAGAGAGGCCCTTTGCTCTGGGCACGTGTGTTAGGACCAAACTCTTGTATTCGGCCTACTCTACTTGCTCCCAGTTGCCAATTTTTAAACAAGTGTGGAATTTTGCCACAATTTCAAAATATTTTTAGATTGAAATCTAATACTGATTTTAAATTAAAATCTTTGGTGAAAAAAGACACTATTTTTAAATAGAGTGGGTTTCTAGGGATACACCATATACATCTTAGACATTTCTCAATAACAATGGACCAAAGACCACCATATTGTCGTCACTATAAATGAATAGATGAAAGCATACTTTAAAATCTGATTTTCCAAACTCTAGTCATTGATACTTCAGGGTTGGTTTCTCTACTACTGCTCTTTTTCTTTTTTTAAATGAGGAGAAAAAGTTTTTAAATGGCAGACACCAACGCACATTCACACAGACTTCAAGAAAGTAATGAAAGCCACAGGCCACGGTGTCGGAGGACAGTCCACTAAGATGGCACGGTGCCACCGTGAGGAGTCTGTAGCTGAATGATCACCATCCCCACTACCCTCTGACCACCCCTATTCTGAAACTACATACTTCCAAAATCTAATTTTGGATTTTCAAAAATCTTAAGCTTACATGACACACTGTACTCAGTAGGCTAATAAGGTACATAACTGACCAAAACACCATTTGGAATGATTCTACAGAAAGGTAAACTGCACATATATTCAATTGTAAACTCTAATTTTTCAAAGAAACCTACACGTACATCATCAGCAATCTCCACAGAGAAGTAGGACGAATTGGACGCCACACCCTAACCCACTTCCATGTGTAGAACGCAAATGAATTAAAACTAAGGTTTGTGAAAGGCTAAAATTACATTAAAAAGTACCTTATTAAAGCGTGAGAAATTCTTCCCTTGCTATCTATGAGGTAAATATGTGTCTCTATAAAGTTGACTTTTAGTAAGTGGTATCCATTCTATACTCACTTTAATAGTTCTATCACTCTACTGATATGCTAAAAATTTCTATCTTATATGTATTTAATTTCCTAAATTTGAATTATAAAAGCAAATACCAACAGATTTATCTTAAAACTATAAAAATTCAATATGTAAAATAAAGCTGCAAGACACAAAAGCCATTTAAGTCTGCATAGTTGTGGAGCATTCCCCACTCCCTCATCAGTTTCTCTCCCACAGAGTAAGCCTAACCCTGTCACGTGCATAAGATGGTTTTAGACCATCGACTCAAACGGTGAAAAGCCTGAGATCATTCACTACTTTTTCTCTTAAAGCACCAAGAAACTAGTGCTGCTTTTTATTAAAAAGTGTAAAAAAACGAATGAATTCAGTAAAATTACCGGATATTGTGTTTCTAAATAAATTTCCAAACAGGGAATACTTGTTGGGAGAGTTAAAAACCAATTAAAGCCTTTTAAGAATATGTACTTCTGATCAGTTCAAAAACGTGCTTTCCTGAAGCTGCACAAACCTAAAATGCTTCTGCTGCGCCTCAGAGCAGAGGCAGTGCGTGGGCGTTGTCGTGTGGTGACAGGCTGTTCTGGTGCGAGACCAGAAATCTCACGTAACTCTGGACAGCTTTAGTTATGTTAACTCCTTACTGTGTTGTGATATAAACATGGAATCGTTTGTTTTAGATGGAAACTAACATATGCTGACTTTCGGAGCATTTTTTTTTTTTTGAGAGTAAGTCGTTTGAGGTCCGTTAAATAACTGCACGTTAGTAAAAACACATTTCGATTCACACAGAGCTCACACAGGACTGCCTTCCTGACCGTTTCCATGTGGGCTCCTAGGTGCGTCTCTGCCAGTGTGGCAGGTAAGGCGGATAACCAGGGACCAGAACCTGTTTTCTTGCTTATCATCGCCGGCAGTGAGCTCTCTCAGAAAAGCTTGTTTTTTGCTGTAGGGACAGAGAGGGCTCTTCCTCAGGAAGCAGTTAAGGCACTGTGCTTCGGTTGGGCTCTCGAGTCAGACAAGATGGGGTTTGGCTCACAGCTCCACAACTTACCAGCCATGGAACCTGCAAAAGTTACTTAATCCTTCTAAGCCTCACCTTTCAGATAATTTAGGTAAAACCTTCGGTGTAAGGCCTGCACACTGTAAATAACCAACACATGAGTGTTCATCAGAAAACCAAGAAGAGAAAGGAGGCCGCTGGAAGCAGGAAGTTGTAGCACAGAAAAGGGGTGTGAGGGGAGCAAGCTCTGAGCTCGAGGGGAAAAAGTGGGCGCGGCAAGAAGCTCAGAGCCTGAGACAAACTCCCCAAGGGCCACGTGACAGGACCCCCTGGCTGCCACAGCCCTTCGGATCAGTCCCTTCACCGGGTCCTCCTCCCAGCGTCAACTTCCACCTACCACCGGTCCCGGAACGCCCTCTCCTGCTGCCTGGGCGGGTGGCAGGAAGCCTCTCTCTCTCCTTCAGGAGGGAAAAACACATCTTCAAGGAAGAACTCGACCCTACATTGTCCCCTAAAACATTACTGTAAGCAAGGGCTGAACTCTACAGTGATATATACCATTATTAGGCGCCTAATGGGTCAAAGAGGCATTTATGGGCCGATTTTACGGGCCTGTACTCACCATGTGCAAGAAAATGTGTTCACATTATAAACACCTGTCTTAAATAAACTTTCGGTACGCAACCTGGTAATTCAGTTATTATTCAGGAGGTGTATTTTCAAAATGTAAAGATTATTTCCAGATGTTAAACTTAAAAAAAAAACAAACAAACAAATACTTACTGTAATCTTTATAGCTTTGTTCAACACATTTACCCATTCTACTAGGTCCTGCTGATCATTGGCTTGTAGGAAATATTTCCTCATCCCTGCATTCATAACTTGAGAGAAAAAATAAAATACAACACATGAAAATTTGCCCTTGTTACCTCTAATTTCGTTTGCAGCAGCTGAAAAACCACGCTAGGTTCAACACTGTGACTTTCTCGGGTTTGAAAAAATGTTACCCCACATATAGCACTGCTATTATTACTCAGTAACATAGGTAAACTCTTACTTTTAATGGCCATGTTTTCCATTTAACGAAAATACCACAATGTATTTAGCCAATCTTCTAATGATACATACTTAGGCTATTTCTGATTTTTGAAATTACATAAAATATCCCAATGAAACATCATATACGTATGTTTTTCCATACTTGGGCTAGTATTTCTATAATTTTTTTTTTCTTTTTAGGATAATTTCTTAACATAGACTTGTTGGATCAAAAGAAATTCATGTTTAAAATTTTATAGATACTGGAGAACTGCCTTCCCAAAAAGTTAGCCCCTTTATATTCCCACCAATAGTGCATCCAAAGACCTCTTTCTTCTAATACTCCCCACTGCCTGAGCTCATTATGGGCCCGTTGAGCCCCAAGAACTTGTGACACTGGGGCTGGGAGCCTGCA